TCTTTTGAGAGTATAAAGTAGATCAAGGCGTTTTGCCTTGGGACTCTTCCAGTTTCGGAAGTGCAGATCAGGAACTCACTTTCTTGGCGTGTTTGTGCATTTTGGTCCTGGCACCACGTAGAGAAGCTGCAGCATAGCGAAGTTACCGTATGTTGTAGTTGAAGGCCTTCGGCTGAACGTTCAGAGCTAGTACCCGGTTAGAGACTTGAGTAGTGCGGATCTGCACCTGCGGGTGATTTCTGATACTCAGAGCCGGCTGCGAGTTAGATACTTGAACAGTTCCCCCTTACTCCTTCGAGTGACATATCCTGATTGTACTCCTACGGGAAGTTTCCCCTGAATGCCAATGTGAAGTTTCATTACTTCGTGTAAACCTTGGTTTGTAATTCAGGTTGTGTGTGTGTTACTGGATCGTGTTTTCAGTAAGTTCTCAGTCGGGTCTGCACTCCCTGCGTTTTGTGTGATAGTCGAGGGTGACGTCCACGGCGTACGTAGAGGCTTCGTTCCGAAGTGAGAAGTCCAGTCCGGGTACCCCCGCTAGTTCCTGGCGGAAGGGCAGTAAAAGCCGGAGTGGGAGGCACTTCCTGCAGAACCTCTGAGTGAACTTGCGAGACACTTTCCTCCTGAAATCCGAAGCGGAGGTCCTGACCGACCTCCGAGTTGTGCTTTTTGCCAGTTTCAGGTGTGTGTGTGTGTGTTGAGTGACCAAGCTGTACCGTGCATCCTCCGAGCATCCTCCGAGTTGAGATCCTCCTCCGAGTCGAGCCTCCGAGTCGAGCACTGCAGTATTTCTGGGAGTGACAGTCGCCTAGAATTCAAACTCTACCAAAAGTCTGTTAAATGTGACACTTTTACTCTGTGTGTTGCCTCTGTCCCTGTGGGTTCGATCTTTTTACCACCATACTGCAGTTTTAGCCTTTGGTGGGTTATTACAGTGAGTGTGTTTGATTGCATACATTTAAAATAAATATCAACATTCCAAATTGATAATGAGATATGGGAAAGACGTATGAAAATTAAGGGTCCCGAGAAAAATTTAAATAAAAATAACTCTGGGACTATTAGGATAACGATGTTAATATACTGTAACTTTTGAACAAAGGTATTGAATAAAAGATGACAAATTTAAATTCCAATTATAGTTGTGAAAAGTTGTTACATATAATAAAACTATGTATCATCAAGTTTCAATCAACTAAAATATGATATTTTTAAAATCGAAATTCTATTAGTCCTTACAAATTTGACGTGTTATCTAAAATGCTGCATGCTAAAAATTACTCTGTGCGATCAAAAAATTCATTTTTATATCGAACCAAAAACATATGATATATCACAAGATAGTATATTAATACTATACACATCACAATGCAAAGATTTGTATTTGTTGTACATATACGCATTTTTTTTCTCATAAAAAGTATACATTGATAGTTTCACTAAGTGTGAATCGCCTTATTTAAAGAAAATGAAATGAAAACACAATATTTCATAATAGAATTCACATGGCGAATTCGTAAAGATGCAAATCAGAAGAAAACAAATTTGTTTGGGACAATGAAGACAACCTTTAATATTTTTGATGCTATCTAACCTCTCTCCTTGGGCGTTCTCCGTGATTTATACTTTCTTCAGTTTTATGTCTAGAAAGGTTATGTCAAAAAGAAGTTACAGTGCATGCAAGGGTCCGGAGAACTGCTTGAAAGTAAACCGTAATCCATGCAAACCCTTAGATCCAAAGCATCGACGAGCTAAAGTGCATCTGGTGTACGGAATATCAGAACAATGAACAATATTCAAATCAGACCCAGCTGGGCATTAGCAGCAGTGGCAGTACTTACCACATTTCCCGGACAGAGTATGCAGGTCTAACATGGACCACAAGGTTGACCACATTGCACATGAACGTTGTAGCATAATTTGAATAACGTGTTGAAAATATACAACAGTCGGTCTTGAAATCAAATGTCAAAACCAGAATTAGTCATACTTTGTACTGTCCTTGATGTCTGAAAGGGGGACAACTTTCTTTCATGAGAATTACATGTGTCAGGTTTCATAAAGTCAAATCGGTAATTGACGCGCCTTGAGCGTCATGATCAGACAGTATATAGCGGGTTGTGATTAGTTGCAACACACAAAACATCTTCCAAGCAAGCACCAGCAAGTACTGAACTTCAATCCATCAAGTATCATAGCAATATATTCTTTGGATTCGGAGTTGGACCCCGAAAACATAGTCCACATTTCAGTAGGGGAAACAATCATAAACTTCAGGCTAAAGAGTGTCGTACCACTATGGCTGATTATAACCATGTGCTCGGCGATGATGATTGTCCCCCATGGCTAACTGCCACTCAAGAAACCGGATGTCATCCAAAACAGGTGATGAGCAACATCCTTCTAAACCACGTGCCAACTGGTGATTACGCATGCGACTTTGTGCACAAGCACTCTACTGTGTACAAGTTAGTGCAAGGAGCGCACGTGAGTACAACTCTATTTCTTGGCTAGACTCGAGGTGTTATCGTTCGACTCTTCTACATGCTTATGATGCAAACACGATCCTGGGCAGCAAGGTTGATCCGGAAAACCCAAACGCTTGTTCATATCGCAGTCAGATACGAGGCTGACGAGTGACTACTCCGATGCTTACTTTGCACTAGAAGTATTATTTGCTTTGGATGCGAGAAATGGATGGAGATATGGAGCCAAAGCACATGAAACTTACTTTGGTATATTGGGGGCTGCTTGAACATGCTTTGATCGTAACCCGCTCATGAGCCTCAAAATCATCATGGGAGCAAAAGTGGGGATAACAATGTCTGCACGATAAATCTGTTTTAGGCAGATCGTTGCTGCTGTCTATGAGTGATCCCTGAATTTTCATTCATCAAATCATTTACTGGAGACCAATAGATGAGTAATTGCAGCTTCCCAGTTGGAGAGAGGCCAGCGGAGTCATTGAGAAGGTAATACCTGATCGTGCACAAGCCAACAAGCCATTAATGTGTTTGGTTAACTGTGGTGATTTGTAGCCCTGATAACATTGAGTTGAAAGCAGCATAAAATCTCTCCCACACTGAAAGCCAAACTGAATGCTCAGAGGAGAGCTATAGCTAAAGGATGAAGCTTGTCGCACTTTCGAGCAGAACATAATAGGTTTGAGCATGCAAATAGGTCTTTTGAGCATCACGAGGACGCTTGTGAGTTTCAAGTCCGGAGACGCAATCCCCGGTTTCCAACTTCTGGCACATGGTGGGACCACTCTGGTACGTAACAACATTTACGTTGTGCACGCTACAAGAAATGGCCCTAAAATGGCATCAGCTCACTGGTTTGTGATTTTCCTGAAATCCTCGTGGCTAGTAACATTAATCAATTCATGAAATAAAATTGCATACTCCGGAGAGTGATACAGAAGTTCTATCGTGGGTCAACACCGATTATTCTCTCTTTATCCCTCACAGTTTGCATGCATTCAAAACATGCGACGCGTGATTTCATAGTCCAGCGAATGAGTTTTGGTCTGGAACATCGTCACATTGGCACAGGACCCATGTTCAATCAGATTTGGGATCGTGCGCTTAGCATTTGTTGGGGGTCTGATTGATTAGTCTCAGAAATGATTTTCTTCTCTACTTCTTCCCTGTCCTGTTATCCAAGCATAAACCTTGCTGCAGTAAAAATTACAGTTGGCATCATCCTTTCGGGGATGCAATGCAATTTGTAGCGAACCTGTCTGTCGGGGCGAAGAGTCTCATCAGGAGCGGTGAACTTAAGTGGCACAAGAATTCAGAGTAGGAGACACTCGTTATTTCCAACATTTGGTGAGGCCATCAATCAGCCTGAGTTCGAATCGAAAGAACCTCTGCGCAAGACACAAAGTATTTTTCCTGAAGTGCAATTTCATGACACCAGCCTGGCTGACTTATCTCGCTTCTTTGATATAATACCATGTGTCAGATTAGCTGAATGTCAGTATCACATTCCAAACTGACTGCTCCTTAACACATATTTTTCAGTATGACGACCCATATCCTGTAAATCTTGCTAAAATTTAGGGTACTGTATTATTTCTTGAAACAAGTAATGAGTCACCTAATCAACTATCTGATTCTTTCAGCCAACAAATATCAAAGAGTTCTAACAAATATGCAAATCCAAAACCTCTCGATCTCTCTAGAATCTATCTCAGAAAAACAAATGCTTCTCTGTATCTACTCAACTTGTCATGAGTATGTCTTGAAGTTTTGCGTTGTAACCTTCTACAAACATTATTTGGCATCATTTGGATACTCCTGTTTGGTTGGGCGAGGTGATATCGATTAATCTTGCCAGGGTTCGATGTTAGTGTAACAGTAAAATCCAGGAAGAATATAAATACATGCTTGGGATTCAATGCATTTTGTACAAAGTAAGCCCCAACCTTTCAGACATATTCTGAGAACAGACGAGACGTTGAGATTGGTCTGGAATGTAACAAAATATCCGATGATGACTGCCATAGCGATCTTCAATGACCTTCACCACCCTTTGACACTGTCATATCAAAAGTTAATGCTTGTACCCCACATGGCGATTTCCATTTTTCTTCGGCCTGTCAATGTATTCTCGACGGATCAGGGTTAGAATATTTGTTAAGCGTATTCGATGTGCCTTGATAAAGAATTACAAAATAACCATTAAAGCCAATTTATGCAGATCTTGGAGATTCCTCAACTGATGCCGGAGCTTTTTCAGTACATCAGATCTAGGAAATGCAGATGTTAAGGTAGGGACATGTGCTAACAGAAGATATTCCAACTACTGCATATGTTGACCTCTATGCATCATTCGCTTTTGTCTGCCTGTCAAGTCTGCCGAAAGTCCTGATACACAGTTAACAAGCATTGAATAGGGACTAACCATACTCAGTTCATCTTGAAAACTTAAGAATGCTTGAAGAAAATATTTTATTTCATAAACTTCCAGTTCTCACCAGATTCATTCATCCAATCGTGTGTTTAGTCTAAATAAAGTCTGTCTGCTCTTGATGAAGTTCGTATTTTCCTCCCTTCTGCATCACCTGATATCATCCTTGTAAACACTGAGCTCCCTAAAGAAACCTATCCAGCCGTACATATACCTTTCAAGCGAACTGGGCTCTCAATGCCTTCACTACATCGCCTGATACGCCGAACGAGATCTCGAGCACCTTGTCAGAGATGGGTGCGCTGCTGTTAAACAAAGTGTTAGGTAAGCGGACAAGGCCAGCGTTGGAGCTGCTAAATGCGGCCAGAGCTGTCACCGTCTGATACTTGTCATTGTTGATCTGGAAGTGAACGAGACCTTTGGGGAAAGCAAATATATCGCCCTTGTACAACACGTTCGTGAACAACTTGTTGGTGGTATCGACCAATCCAACTTCGAGAGTTCCCTCGATGATAAACAGGAGCTCGGTTCCACGAGGATGGGTGTGGGGTGGGTTCACGGTGCCTGGTGGGTATTGAAGCAAAGCCATAGAAACACCGAGGCCGTCGACTGCGAGAAAAGGAGCACTCGCTGGTGCAACGACATTGACTGTAGTGACAGTGGCGAAAGGTGAAGCAGCGTTTGCCATGACGTTGCGCAAGAACGTGTTGGTGAAGAAAGTGCCATTAATGTCGGCTGCATTCAATCCTGCTGGGACCTGGAAGTCCTTGGTTAACTCTGGATCAGAGGCCTGCACAGACTGGAGGGTCAGAGCACCTGCAATGCAAATCAGCATAGCGAATGAAGAGTGTAGAAGTCGACCCATTTTCTGGAATGAGGAGAAAACTTGTGAGAAAATTTGTGAGTGAACCTGTCAATCTGTTTTTTGAAGATTGTGAAAGTGGTGCAGCCACTCGCTGTGTTTGTATTTTTTTCAGATTTTTCCCAAACACAGATTTGTGTTTCAGTGATAGATGATCAAACTAGTAATGTGGAAAGTGGCTTGCTTCTTAGGAAATGAAAGCGTGCCTTTATACTGGCACAAGACCGTGCTATTGATCCATGTTCTCAGAATTAAACTGCATCAATCAAGGCCAAAGTTGCACTATTCATTGCACTATGCATCGGAATTTATCAAAATGGGATCCGGATCAGCAGAATGCCCAAATAGGTTCAACTGTTCATTTTCCTGATGTAATTCCGCCTGTTCTAACGCAGTCTAAGAATTTCATCAGACTTAGTCCTCACGAGATGCCAGGATCTCACAAATCCTTCATATTTTAGTGTACAGAGGTAGTTCTTTTTAAGATATTCTGAAGCTCAATCAGGTCGTTGGAAGGATGTAACACAGAAACAAATATCACTGGTCAAAAGTAAAGTACATATATTTTTACAGCTTAATCACGTAGACCTACTAGAAGTAATATTTTTTTGTGAAACTAATTGTATAATAGTCACTTGTTCACTTTTGCATAAGGACGTCTCATGATGTCTCCCTAGTGTAACATTTACAAGATTCCCTTCTTCAATTTAAAAGAAGTTATTTATACATGACAACACAGCATATATGCACATGTTCACACTGCTTCACTCTGTGATTTCGGGGCAATCACTGGCTTACACACGTGATAGTCATGAATAGCGCAATAGTGTTGCGAAAATTAAAAGGCCCGATTGGATAGCCGGGTGGTTCCTATGGCACCAAGCCACTCTCTCAAATAAAATACGAAGAATCTAGCTTAGACACACAAATCTGTGAATCAGGTGAACCCAAAATTAACATATTCTCTAGCTAGGGTAAGAGAAGCTTCTTGCTGGACGATTCCTACATCTTCAAAATTTTTCTGAAGTTATAGTGAGTTTCATTGCATTTTTCAAGAAGGGTGAGCGGTGAGCGGTTCGATTCGACCAAAAGCAGCATATTGTTGGCTTGGTTGATCCAGATCAACATCATCGTGTGCAAAAAAGATATTTTTCACACAAGACTATATATTATCTCCAAGTGAACAGTCTTGTTGGCTATAGGAGTAACTAAGATTTATCCTGTGTGGATGTCCAATGAAGCTTTCAGATGAGAGGAGCGTGTGGTAACCCACTTTTTGTTTTTGTGCGGAATTTAGAACATTTTTGGAAAACAGTACCGCAGCAGCGATTGTAAATAGTAATCAATACACTTAAATGCAGTGAAAATGAATAATCGCGGGTCTCGTAGAATCTTGTAGAATCATCAAGTTGGGCGCAATGTCCGGGACAGGCGCCCCGACCCAAACAACCGATTCTGAGGGGAATCTCCTTCGGCGCAAGGCGGAGAATACGCCTTCGGCGCTAGACGCCTTCGGCGCTAGGGAAATCCCTCAGAGCTTATTCAATTCATAAATACTTGACTTGGTTAGGGTCTTGTTGGAAAGAACTCAACGCGCTCGTTCTATCGAGCCCAAGAATGCTTGAAACAGATAAGGCATCAAGGAGTTATGAATGTCGGAAGTTACTGAGAGGGAGAGCTTTCGGCGGAAGGGCTAGGTCGATGGAAGAGCCGCCTTCGGCCCAAGGGGGTGAACGCCTTCGGGGGTGAACTACTTCGTACGATCGCCTTCGGCGCCAGCGCATCACGATTAGGTCAACGCCTTCAGGGCAAGCAACTCCGTACGGTCCGCCTTCGGCGGTACGGAACCCATGCGGCAAAAGCGCCTTCGGGGGGACAAGAGGGATCAACAGAAAGGACAAGACCATTTGACTGCGGTCAATGCCTTCGGCCCAAGCGCCTTTGGCGCTGCGCCTTTGTCGACGGACGTCTTCAAAGAAACGCCTTCGGCGCTGCGAGTCAACGATTTTGGCGGTGCGGGCAAGGATAGAGATGAGAGTCGGCCAGAGTCGAAGGCCGCCGTCGCCGCACCTTCGGCGATACGCCTTAGGCGCTGCGCGAACAAGGCTACGTCGACGGACGATGGGTGAAATCGAATTCAATTTTTGAGCGTGTGAGCCCGCACAACGGCGGAGCGTGAAGCCGAGCGTGCGAGAGAGGGGCCGTTACGACTCCAAGCCGACGCAGCAATCAAGTGGGTCGGTCCCCACGCCAAGTGTCGAAGATGAAATCTTGGGAGCCGAAGGCGAGCGACTCATTCTTGAAATTGCGATTTTGATTTCTCGCGAGAGCTGCGCGCGTACGCAATTTGGCAGAGAGAAATCAGAGGAGAAGGCGACGCGCGGAGAATTGCAAGTTAGAGCGAGAGTTGAGTGCGCGACCGCGGGAATTGAGTGTGGGAGCTCGCAGAGAGATTGCATCCGCGTGCAAGAAGCTTGGGAATAGCAGATGACAGTTTGCAGACTTCTGAAGTGTGCAGTGAAATTTCAAGAACGCGATGTCGAAAGCGACACAACTGCGGATGATTCCGCTGAAGCTTCCGCAGATTGGGCTGCGCTCTTTCTAACACGAGTTGACTGCGGTGAAGCTCGATTTCCTCCTGTGGGGATGGAATTACGTGTGCCAGGACATGGTGCGCGAGTGGCAGAAGGAGAGAGACCAACCTACGCGCGGATTTCTACCGCACGTAGAGCGATGGATCATCGCTGACTAGGAACAAGTGTTGGAAAGATGTGCGGGAGAGGACGGGCATCTCCTATTCGATAGCGAAAGCATCAAGGTCACGAAATAGGAGGAGATTTCCTTCGCGGATGTAATAACCCACCAAAGGCTAAAACTGCAGTATGGTGGTAAAAAGATCGAACCCACAGGGACAGAGTCAACACATAGAGTAAAAAGTGTCACGTTTAACAGACTTTTGTAGAGTTTGAATTCTCAGGCGACTGTCACTCCCAGAAATACTGCAGTGCTCGACTCGGAGGCTCGACTCGGAGGAGGATGCTCGACTCGGAGGATGCTCGGAGGATGCACAGTACAGCGTAGTCACTCAACACACACACACACACACACACCTGAAACTGGCAAAAGCACAACTCGGAGGTCGGTCAGGACCTCCGCTTCGGATTTCAGGGGGAAGGTGTCTCAAAAGTTCACTCAGAGGTTCTGCAGGTAGTGACTCCCACTCCGGCTTTTACTGCCCTTCCGCCAGGAACTAGCGTAGGGAACCCGGACTGGACTTCCCACTTCGGAACGAAGCCCCTTCATACGCCGTGGACGTCACCCTCGACTCACACCAACCGCAGGGGGTACAGGCCCGACTGAGGACTTAACTGAGACACAATCCAGTAACACACACACACAACTTGAATTGCAAACCAAGGCTTACACGAAGTAATAAAACTTCACTTTGGCATTCAGGGGAAACTTCCCGTAGGAGTACAATCAGGATATGTCACTCGAAGGAGTAAGGGGGAACTGTTCAAGTCTCTAACTCGCAACCGGCTCTGAGCATCAGAAATCACCCGTAGGTGCAGATCCGCACTACTCAAGTCTCTAACCGGGTACTAGCTCTGAACATTCAGCCGAAGGCCTTCAACTACAACATACGGTAACTTCGCTATGCTGCAGCTTCTCTACGTGGTGCCAGGACCAAATGCACAAACACGCCAAGAAAGTGAGTTCCTGATCTGCACTTCCGAAACTGGAAGAGTTCCAAGGCAAAACGCCTTGATCTACTTTATACCCTCTAAGGTCCTAACTAACACTACGCTATCCTATCTACTACTCGCAACACCTGCACGAAACCAAACTACGCTACTGCACTCTGCAGATCCGGTGCTGCGCCTCCTGCGCGCCGGACTGCCTCGCTCTCTATCTCTACCTTGCCAATCTTCCGACCGGCTGCGCAACCCCAGACGCCGGAGGGCTGCAGTCACTTCCGACTCCAAGTGCGCCATAGTGTCGCGCGCGCCCGACAAGAAGGCTTCTAATTTCCTTGCTACTCGTCGCCGACTCCGACTGTCACCCTCCGTCAATGCCGCCGCCCGAAACTCAAACTCCCTGAGTGTGATCTTCTCTTGAGCTGCCACCTCCCAATGGACGTATTTTTTTAGATAGTGAGTCACCCGCGTCGCCAACTCTTCTCGCGTCCGGCAGCTACCTTCCACCTCTGCTAGCTGCATTTCCACATCTGCGCGCTGCGCCCTCAAATCCACGCACTCGGATTGCAAGTTGCGCAACAATTCTTCATCCTCTGTGCGTGTACTTTGACTTTATTCTAAGGCGCGCTTCTGGCGCGCAAGCTCTTCTGCTAAGATGCGGTTTTGTCTCCGCTCTTCCTGCAATTCTGACTCGATCTTTGCCCGCATTAGCTCGGCATCCGCCTGGTTTTTCGTCGCCGCATCCTCCCTCTGCTGTTGCAAGGTTTGGTATAGCTTCTGCGTGACCGCCAGGTGCTGTCGGAGGGTAGCGTTCCTATCCTGCAATGTTTGGCACCTAGAGGCCCAAGTGGCCACCTTGCTCCTCGTCCTGCGCTTGACAGTCTCCACGTAAGACTGCGGTTTTCCGGTACCCGAGTACTTGGATGTCTTGCGATCCAGATATCGCAGGAATGGAACTATCTGCTCGCACAACACCCCTGTTGGCTGTGGTACCCCACTTTTGGCAATTTTGAGAAAATTAAAACATTTTTGGAAAACTGTACCCTGGCAGCATTGTAAATAGCCTTCGGTACATCAAAACAGAGTGAATCCGGAAGATCGCAGGGATTCTCGAGGGATCTTGTAGAATCTGGAATTTGGGGTGCAGCAGTAAGGACAGGCACCACCCTCCCTGCGAGCTCTGCAGTTAGGATCTCTACGGCGCAAGGCGCAAAACCCGCCTTCGGAGGTTGCGTCCGCGGCTGTAGGGAAACCCTCCATAATTAGGTCAACCCTCGGGCGCCTTGACCAAGTTAGGATCCCGTTGAAAAGAGCTCGACGCACTGATTCCAACGAGCCCAAGAACGCTTGGAACGGATGAGGACTTAGGGAGTTATCGCTATTGGAAGAAACGGAGGCGGTCGCCTACGGCGGAAAGAGTTTGCCACCGGCGCGAATTCCGCCTACGCGGAAGGGGGAATCAAGTTT